GTAGAAACTTGAGCAACGATATATCGAAATTATCGTCATGCTCGATGATTATCGTGATATTGCTTCACATGTGTATATAGCTGTTATAAAATCCTAAAAAATTCTTGCAATTCCCTAGAAAATATAGTTTTTAAAAGAATTAAAACTATTTCCTGAATTAAATACGAATTTAATACGATACAAAAGCTAATATTTATGTATTAATCTGCTGAACAATGGAATTGCAGGCTTTGCTTGCGCTGTGTGTCCACAGCATTTGTGCCAGCGAAGACATACAGTAGTAGACACTGCATAAATGGTTCTGGTTTATGAACAGTAAATATTAGACTATAGAAAAAGCCTCTTGTTGTTGTTTTACTTGTTTTTAATAAGATTATATATAAGCTTACTATGCAATGATATTAATTAAAATTGAAAAGTGTGGTCATTGTTTTTATTGCATTTATCGCGATAATATCGAATATCGTGATAATTTCCTTGACAATAATCGTGAGATAATTTTTTTAATATCGCCCAACCCTATACATAGGTCACATATTGTAGCAAACAACCTCGAGTGTACAGGGGCTCCATTGACAATATAAGTGACGCTTTTTGTCACCCCCTTATCCCACAATTTGACTCGGTCAATGACGTTATCGAAAATTACGTCCAATCTCGATCAGTGTTTGTGCTGGACAGTGAACTTTATGTAAACTGGAACGATGACTCAGGGGGGGGGGTTGAAGCCAGTACATTTTAGTTTTTCTGAGTTATGAGCAGAAAACTGTGTTTATCCTAACCCACCCTGTCAACTTTCTCTGTGAGAGGAAACTGGAGCACCCGGAGAAAACCCACGACATTTGGCAGAGCGTTGAACTCAGGGTGAAAGGCGCTTGCTCTGGCGACTGCACCATGTACTGTATACAGGGTGTTCAATGTCCCAGTGTTCTACTGGACTAGTTTTAATATTCTTAGTGTCAAAATTCATCTCTTGAATTAAATTTTCGTTGCCCGCTAATAATTAGCTGTGTAAAAGTCTGAAACATACAGTACAGTACTGCCAAGAAATAACTTGTCCCCGCGTCTGCCCGCGTCCTGCCTCCAGAACGCCCGCGTCTTGCGTCCACTGTGCCCGCGTCCTGCCTCCAGAGCGCCCGCGTCCGGCCTCCAACTAAAAACTGCGTCCGCTTGGACGCAGTCGTCGTAACATAATCGGAAAAACGGACTAATATTTGCATCATACTCGTAGTTTGTCGTGAGAATACCGATCAGTGTCGGTGATCGGAGAAGCAAAGAATAAAAAGTTCAATCCGAAAATGAGTTTCATTGAAACATTACGCATTACATTTAGTATAACCATTTTTTTACGTTATACCTAATGTAATGCTTTTACAATGCAATCACACGTATTTGAGTCGCGATTGAAGCGTATGACTGTATATTGGAGCGTAAAATATGTTGGACATAAACTATATAAATATAATGTAGACACATATACTAAACTCAGTGAGATCACGACTACAATAAGTTTTTATATCTCGCAACACATTCATTTGCTACTCAAATTCTGATTTACCTCGTAGAAGATTGCCGATTAGTTGATATGCAATTCTGTATTTGAGTAATGTTATGTCTCCGTAACTCGTCAGTATATTAAAACGAAGATGCTCATTTACAATATATATAGTGCTTTTGACTTTTCATATAAAATACCATTACTACGAGTCACTATATAACTTTATTTACAGCAAATTTTTGTTGTTTTTCCAAAACAAAGTAAATATGCACATGGTGATATGTCATACAAATTGATAATTACCCGATACTTTCTGAATAAATTACTTCTCTTAATCCCTTAATGGAATACCTTTACATGTCCAGGAAACAGTCTTTGTGTTTCAACACGGTTCAATGACTGTGACTCATCGCTTGATTTTCAAAGTTGCAGTATAATGCGCTAAAGCCGAATTGAAGAGCTCAGACTAATATCACTATCTGACTAATAAAATGAGCTATCGATCGCTTACTCATCAACCAAAACGTATGAATTCGTTTTTTCGAAAAAGATATAAAACCACGTGCATTTTGCCAACTGGCAATGTTAAAAGAGTACTGGGTTTAAACCAAACGTTATACGAAGGTGCGAAAGTTGAATACGGTTGAATACGAAAAGGAACTTTAAGAAGCACAAATTCTGAAACTTCACGGTAAGTTTAATTTTAGAAATATATAAATATAGGTCTGCAACGCTTGTGTATAAAAACATGAAATCGCTAGCATGTATATTTTCCGATGCCCACGGTTTGTCTATGACTGAAAAGCAAAGCGCGATAATTTCCGACGATCTAGAAGATAATTCTTTCTCAGCTGCGTCTTCGCCCGCAGACGCAAAGCGGACGCATGGCGCCCGCACAGTGGACGCACCCGCAAGCGCCCGCAGACGCACAGTGGACGCGCGACGGACGCACGGCGCCCGCAGGATGGACGCACCCGCGGGCGCCCGTGGACGCACAGTGGACGCAAGATACCCGCGTCTTGGACGCGGTTTTTGATAAGTTATTTCTTGGCAGTACTGTAGCTATTACATTAGTAGGTAATACTACCCATCCAGCGCCGGAAGTGATGTCATACATTGTTGTACATACAGTATTTGCATTTTTTATCTGACGTCATACTGTACACACAGTAGGTACAGTTTTTATCTGAAGTAATATAGTGTACGTACAGTCCTTAAGATGACATTTTCATCGATACATTCTAGTACAGTAGCTACTGTACATTCTACAGAGGCCATGCAGTTGTCGAACATTAATACATACAGTATATGTCCCCATTAAGGCTATGCTGAACATTGTTCAAAACAATTATGTATATGATTGTGATGTTCTGGAGTGACTCCTTTAAAGTGATTATTAAATCTCGCCACTTCTATTTGTAGTGGTTTAATCATGTACGTGCTATACTATGCATGTGTTCATATAATACAGTATGCACGTAAAATCATTTCTTGATATCTTATAGCATCGTTCTACAGCGGATTCAAGGTGGACAAAGAAGATATTGTAACAGAGGAATCAAGTTCTTCTAAATTACCCCCACCAGTACCAATAGTCAATTCAAGCTCATTACTACCCAGTCAGCCACTGGATGTTCTCTTTATCGAAAGAAAGGGTGAGTCCTAATCTATATATGGGGGGGGGGGTGTACACCAGCCAGAAAAATCAGATCTCTCCATCCTTCCCAAATTCCCCCATCAATAGTCGATACCAACAATCAATAGACCTTTATAAAAAGGTTGACGTCAGCAGGCTTGTGACGTAGTTTGCGCAGGAAATCCCGAAAGCTCAGAGTTGTTCACTTGTTTTGAGTTTTTTTAAAGCAAAAGAAGCCAGTATTATTGTAAGTTTGAAGCAAATTTTTCTATATATAAGCCAAATGAGTTTTCATATTCGTCTTAGTTTAAATTTTATTTGCTTTTATATTAGATTGTACATTTATTTTACTGTCAACATTTAGCAAATTGTTCGCTCGGTTTGTTTACATATTTCGTAGCTAAAAAGTATATTTTTTCTTTTTTGTTTCTCAAATTCATCAGTCTAATCATCAGAATGGCCCCAATCAAGCTGTACATAGACAGCAATAATACACAGGCTCAGTGATTGTGCAAAGAGGTCTTATTGTCACAAGTGAACTTAGACTCTGAGTACATCTTGTACACAATATTGACTCGTATTAAGACTGATAAGTCTATTATTTTTGTCGATATAGTTGACAGAAAAGGACGTATCCGGGTCAAAAATTGGCAAGGATATTGAAAAAGCTACCAATTTCGGCTGAAGTGTAGAGACTTAAAGTTTAAATCTTCAGAAACGAAAGCGGAGCTGTTTACACTGATGAATTTGAGAAACAGAAAAGAAAACCGAGCGAACAATTTGCTAAATGTTCATAACAGTAAAATAATGTACAATCTAATATAAAAACAAATAAAATTTATACGACGAATATGAAAACTCATTTGGCCTATATATATGGAAAAATTTGCTTCAAACTTACCATAATACTGGCTTCTTTGGCTTTAAAAAAACGCAAAACAAGTGAACAACTCTGAGCTTTCCGGATTTTCTCCGCAAACTACGTCACAAGCCTGCTGACGTCAACCTTTTTATAAAGGTCTATTCAAGGTCATTGCTAGCTGCCCATCAGCCACAGACTTGATATTCTCTTCATTGAGAGAAAACGTGAGTCATAATGTTGAAGGATTTTGTAGATGGAAATTTTGAGTGTAAATTTTATACAGGGTGCCTAAAAAAAAACGCTATGGAAATTCAACAGACTGTCGTGCATCATAAACTTGGCTAAACAATTCAATTTTTACATAGGACGAAAAAGCTGTTATTTAGCTTTTCTATGATACCTTTTTTAAATCGTAACGATGAGAAATGGCCACATACTCGTCAAATAAAAATTGCCGGTCGAAATCACATTCTTCCACCGTTGCGAATTGAAAATCCATTAATTATGCAAAATTAATCAATCAAAAGTAACGCGAGTCTGCTGCAAGCTATTTGTTTCGTAAAACGTTTTGATTGCGAATGTTCTCTGTTCAGTGGTTAATTGAACCATGTTTAATGGACGTTCCTACTGTCTCACTAAGACGAATATTGATGAGTTGAGCTCATTTTAGATAATTTTACATTCAATTTTAATTCCCTCTTGGGAATCGACTATTTTTCGTTTTCTATGCAATTCCCAACGGTGGAAATATGTGATTTCGACCGACAATTTTTATTTGACCATTTTGACGAGTTTGTGGCCATTTCTGATCATCACGATTTTAAAAGAGTATCATTGAAAAATTGAAAAGCTAAATAACTGCATGTTCTTTCGTCCTATGTAAAAGGTGAATTATAAAGCCACGTTTATGATGCACGACAGCCTGTTGAATTCCCATTGCGTTTTTTTGAGACACCCTGTACATTTATTAAGACCTAACCAGGAAGTTAAAGAAACAGCTACGAAAAATGCAACTATATATAAGCCCTCTGGCAGGAATCAAACTTGTGGTCCTGCTATTCTGGTGCAGCGCTTTAAGCAACTGAGCAACACAGTCCAGTTGTCGAGCTCTAGCTGCAAGTTAATCAGATTCTATATGTTTACAGTAATGTGATGTCCAGGGTGCGATAATTTGCGTACTTACCACTGATCAAGAAATACTTACGTACTGGAGATACGCCAGTATTACGGTCTGGTACTTATGTTTTGTCAGCTACGTACGCCATACTCTTCTCATCTGCGTACTTAACTTTTTGCTTGTACCATTTGATTTTTCCAAGCCCAAGTTATTCAAGACCATAACTTAGTCGGAATATGTGCAAGTCTAACATGACTGGGCATTAAACATGATTGGACTATGATGAGATGGGACTAAGGAATGTTAGACAGGGTTCGTAGCGGTCTTTGAAATCCTTGAAAGTCTTTAAATTTGAATTCAGGTCTTCTGAGATCAAGGTCTTTGAAAAGTCTTTGAATTGTGTGAAAATCTTTAAATTCTTTAGTGAGTATTTGATTATACGATTTCCTAGCTAATAAAATAGATTGATTGAAGCAAGATTTTCGCAAATATCGACGAAAATGTATATTTTAGGATGTGATTTGACATGACTAATTACTGGGTAAAAATGGGGGTTATACACTCGCAATTTCTCGACAGCTGATTGCTCTCAAAGGTCTTTGGAAAGTCTTTGAAAATAGGCAGAAGAAATCTTTTAAAGTCTTTGAATATTTTTGGTCTTGGAGACTACGAACCCTGTTAGAGTCGATCGCAGTGTTTGTGTCTAAAATTGTGCCCCTTGATCGATAACACTATACTAGTTTCATGTTAATGAATCGTTTTCAGAAACCTGTACATTATGTACTTCATTCTAAAGATTACGTACACCTTGAGTCTTAAGTTTTTACCAGCTCAAGTACGCGGCAATAATCATTGGAATACCAGTCAGGTAGGACTAAAAAATTTAAATTATCGCACCCTGGAGCCTGGAGGTGTACAGGGTAATTATCAATTTTCATCTACAAAATCTTTCAACAATTAGTTCTATCTAGTGAGATGCCCAAAAATCTGATACAGTATTTACCCATCATTCAATACTATATTGTAGTATTGTAGAGCTAAACATTATTTGCTTGAATGTTATAATTGTGTATGGATATTAAGTACTGTATACATGTTTTGAAATTACTTTTTTAGATGGCGGGTTTAAGAAAGAACAAAAGAATAATCTTGCTCAAACAACTGTCATAAATCACCAAACATCTGTTGACATTCCAAGAGAACCGACAATCTCAGATTTTGCAATGGTTAGTGAAATATCTATTGTGGATTTTTTGCTGATATTGGATTATTGCACACCGGGCATGTTGAAAAATCGCTTGGTCGCGATGAGAATCGAGCCAACTGGGGCCGTTGCCAGGACTTTGCCTTTGGGGGGGGGAGGGGGGTGAGGTTAGATTTACCTGAATTTTCCAAAACAACGGTTTTCACCTGATTTTGCGACGCCCGCGAGGCGCCACCATCGAGCAAGAAAATTTGAATTCTCTAAACCGTCGGAAATGGCATTTTTATTTTTTTTTTCATAATGTTTTACTACTGCCTAACAATGAAGATAAATAAAATAACTACTGATCAATATGACAGTGTTACTTACAGTTCAATGTGACTGGGAAAATTGAGAAAATTTTGGAAATTTGGAGTTTCCAGATCGTCAGAAAGGGTATTTGGTCATGTACCCCTAGGCGACGACGCGTCTGAACTCTGAACGTCTTTAATTAGTTGGTCGATTGTCAGCTCTAATTCCGATTCAGAGCACAGAGCTCCTTTTTATGCCCTGAGAATTACCTGAAAATCTGCTGGAAATTTATTGGGGTGTGTTGCACCCCCCACGTCCCCCTTGTCGCTACGACCCTCATCGAGCCCGCGACCTTTGGTTTGCTAGTCAAACCTAAATGAAGCAACTTTTGTTCCCGCGGGTTCGACTCCTACCCAGTGAGCTCCATATGTAACTGGAATGAGAACTGGAGCTACTGGACGTCAATTTAGTCATTTTCTATTGTTTTTCTGTCTGCGCAGTTAACGCAAAGCTGCGTGAGTGTGCCGAAATTTCGTAGTTTTTACCTCGATTTAAAGAACAATACTATGTCTATGATTATATTCAATTTATTTTCTTATTATATCATTACACTATATCAATCTAATAAATTTTATTATTCTCGTATAAATAAACTTGTCCGTGTCCACATGTCCGCGTTTTTCACCTAACCGAGATAAAATGATATGAGACTATTTCCGAGCTTCACAGATTTTGGACGTCAATTTCCGCGATCTTGGCTTTTCTCATAGGGCAGAATGACTGAAGTTCTCGCTTCAGATACATATATAGAGCTCCCATACACATTGATAACAATTTTTTTTAATATGGCTATATGTTGAATTTATATTGATACTTTCGGGCCACTGAATAGGCAATTCCAGCTTTTAGTTCATGCCTGCAGGGGATGATGGGAAGTAAGGTATCATATTGCTGATTATGCTGAAAAATTTCAATAAAAACTACCGAAGCAACCGAAATATTTCAATATTTACAAGTGTAAGCTATCACTCGGCCACCATTTTTATTTTTTCAGCATAATCAGCAATGTGATACCTTACTTCCCATCGTCCCCTGTACGCATAAACTAAAAGCTGGAATTGCCTATTGTGTTGCAATGAATTGAAATCGAAAATATATTGTAAATCTAAAATGTATTTTATAAACTTATTATGTACAGTACAGTACAATATCGGTAATATCGGCAACAAAAATGCCGATATTTGAGTTTACGGCCGATATGGTTGAAAAATTATTGTTACAGCTTTGTCACACAGTTATTCAGCTATCATTTAAAGCCCAGTTGTCGAGAAAAAGACCTTGCTCACTTGCCGTGGCATTTTAGCCAATTGTTACAACCAACTTTCTACTTCATTTATTTACTTTTTCTTCATTTTATTGGATATGTTTTTAAATGAACAAGACAACATTAGTCATTATCTAAAGACGTACTTGGTGGTACAGTCGTTAGAGCAAGCACCTTTCACCTTTGAGATCGTGGGTTCGATTCTCGCTACGGACTCATGTGAAAACGTCAGTCAACGCTCTGCTGAAAGTCGTACGTTTTCTCCGAGTGCTCCAGTTTCCTCCCACAGGAAAAATTGACAGGGTGGGTTAGGATAAACATAAACAGAGTTAAGAAAGTAATATCACAATTTCTGTAAATATAAAATAGTCTAGGCTAAGAGCCTAAGTATGTAATAAAAATAGTACATCTGTATATTACATACGGGTATAAGAGTACAGTATAATACTTTATGTAAAGTATGTAGATATTTGATCATATCCGTCCACATTTACAGTAATCTTAACCTTACCTTCACTAATCTATTTCTCGTTTCTTCTAACACCACTCGAATTTTTAAAGTCTTGACCTACTTAAGGTGATATACATTTTTGATTTCAGGCTACACAAAGAACCTTTAAGACATTTGCTTTATTTTGCCATGGCTTGCTTGCTGGTAAGTGTATTTCATAGTAAAGTTTCGTATGACATGTTTGATTCGTTCGTCTTTATATAGTCAACTTTACCAAGCTCTTGAACCAGTGTACTTGTGATGGAGAAAATTCCAAAGTACAAATTCTGCTTGTTTGGATGGGTCAAAAAGGACAATTTGACAAAGTAATTCGAGCAATTAGCCTTTCTCACGACGACGAATATCCGCCATTTTTGTGTGGCATCTAATTGTCGTTAACCAATGCAGACAATTAAAACAATGTGAAAAGCAATTTTCCAAAATAAACTAACCATTTACAAAGCAAATTTACCATCATTCGTCCAAAACATTATAAAAAGTCGCTGTTATGTGGACTTATCTCACAGATTTCGGCCGAAAAGCCACCCAAGAATGGCGGCGTGAGAAAGGCTAATTGGATGCGGTTGTACGGACAGGCGGACAGCGATATATTATAACTGTAGTATAGCTATTGTGGCGGCCAGATCTTACAAAACTTGCTCTACGTGTACACTGACAATTTAATTGACAAAGAAAACTTCCATATGAAAACGTGACTCTGCAAACGACCAAATTGCAATAAATCATATTACTGTATGTCTGTGATCTATCGACCAAGTCGCAAGCGTCATGATTTAATACGCTGCATCACGTCATCTTAGGGACAAAATTGAGCTAAGTAGTATCGGCCATTATGCGGTTAATTTGACCCCTGAGTTGTGAACAAATGCAGCCGGAGCTGGATATTTGAGCCCTAAAGCAGCCGGTGTCACGCGAAATTCCTGACTTGCTAGATACATGATTATCGTAGTTCTGCACATGCGCAAATGATGCGCATAATTTACATCTCCTCACAAATTTCGCAACTGCCTACTACAACAAAAATGTGTTTCTTCGAAGACGATTTTCCAAACTGTTTTTCAGTATTTTTCCGAATAGATGTAAATTTTACTATAGTACAGTATCTGTTACTGGCTGTGCTGGATTCAGAGATCTTTCTGAATGCCCGGGGCAAATTTTCCCTGGGGGCCCCATCACATCATTATTTTTAAGCTAGACCCAACTAGACCTTAACTAGACTGCATGTGGAGGTACTGTAAGGGGCCCTCAATTTCAAAAAATAGGTACGCTGTAGCGTACATGGCGTCTACTGGATCAAAAACAAAGAATGTCAATGCCGTCCGGTTTATATTTACATTTTCGACTTTGGAGTGGGGAAGATTAAAATATCTCGGCAAGTATTTACCCGCCCTTTAAAACGAAAACCACCGTTGCAATCCTCATAATATAACCTTTCGAACGGTGGGTCAAATGCCGTCATAACATTACACAAACCAAAACAATCGTACATTTACTCACCGGTTGGCCAAACATTCTGTACTTCATATGGAGAAAAAATTGAATACCTTCTGAACTTTTCAGTCTAAGTCAATAGGAGCGAAATACTCCTTGTATTCAAGCGCTTTCGTGTATCGGGTTGTTACTTGCACGCGCGTGCCACACGCTAAAATTGGCCAATAATGAGCACCCCTAGCCCCGATGCACGTGCAAATCACGCTACATGAAGGGGTAATTTGACCTTTAGAATTTCCGAAGTTTCCCGAGTGTCAGGATGTAAACATCGCATTGTTTCAATATGTCAAGCTGTATTTCCGGTCGAGGCTTTCGCGTAAAATTTAGATATTCTGAAATACCGAAATAAAAACTTGAAAATAACACTCTAAATAGTGTCTTGGATTGTGATTCGAACAAGAACATTAAGAAAAAGATAGGTTGAAAAGGGCCAAAGTTATATTAGGCGAAAGGTATGGCTTAGTGATACATTGTCGTACATTGTTTACATTGTTCGAGTATATTGTATATAGGTATGGATGGCTAGTTTACATTGTTCGAGTATGGCTAGTTTATATTTTATGGCTATTTTACATTGTTCGAGTATATAGTATCTTTCAAGTGGAATTTTTTGGTGGTATTTTCGTACTTCTACTGCAAATACTCGCGGAGTTCTTTATAACGTCGGAAATCTCAAGGTCGGACGGCATTGATAAAACCATTTATCGTAAACAGTTCGCCCAGAACTATTATTAGCCCACTGGCTAGGAACATGACGACCGAAGAGGGTTTTGGGTGGTAGCAGAAGTGAAGATCCTGAGTGTCAGGTTCATGACAACTACTTTGCGCAACCTCGTGCCCAGGGATTGTGCATTGCGATGCATCAATCATTCATCAGTAATGTAATTGAACTGGTTTTATTTCTCGTAGGTTTTGCTCTATGTCAGTGTTTATTTGTCTACTCGTTGTCCAGTCATTCTGGTGGTGCAGAGAATTTTCTATCAAACTATTACAGATTGGCACAACCTATAGGATCTGTGTATTACTTCATGTTAGCTGTGTGTACCGTCTCTGTTTTGGATAGGTAATGTAAAACCTGTTTTTCTATAATTATAAATTGGTAAACTAGAAAACGTTTGCCCTTTTTTCTAACGTGTAGCCGGCTGATGTAAATTTCCCAATTTTCGCTGACTAACCGCATGCAATTGAGCAAAATTTGTTCTTTGTCAATTTTGCAATGACAAGTGCACTTTCTCAAAAGCTCGCATTACTAACACTTATTCCAAAGGTCTGAGGGGTATACGAGATTTACACCTCTCAGCCTGGAGACAGGCTTCCCTCGAAGCCTGGCTCCAGGCTGAGAGGGGTAAATCTCGTCTACCCCGACAGACCTTTGGAACAAGAATTTTGTCTATCACCTCACAGTGCACAGAACCAAAACTTCACCAACAAGTTCTTCTCGTCACTGAAAGTAATCCATTCTTCATAGTTTTCTATGTGGCAAGCCTTCAAATACGCCTCAAACTTTCTCTTTGCATTGTTCTCACTTTTTATGGTGTTTTTGTTAATTAAGCAAATGTTGTTTTTTCCATGCAAATTATATTTACACTGAGATTGTTTGACGCCATTTTGAAAAAAATACCCGCGAAACAAAGTCGTATCCTTTTGGAGCTGTGGTAGCCAATGAACGTCATTCGGGACGTCATTCATTTTACACATAAACTGTACGTTACGCGAGATTCTTAAGAAACCATTATATCCTTATCTGCATGTCATTTGAGATTATCGCCTGTATTCTAAAAGCTCACTCGCACTCACATTCAAAGAGTGGAGGTTCAACCTGAGCTTCCCTTAAATAGCTGGAGGGTGAGTAGTTACATATTAAGGTACAAGACTAACTCTCCAACTGTTCAAAAACAGCACTGATACTTAACGGAAGCTCAGATTGAACCTCCACTCTTTGAATGCGAGTGTGAGTGAGCTTTTAGAATACAGGCGTATGAACTGCTGTTCAATGTTCAAATTTGGCGTAATGTACGGCCAAGTTTTCCATTGCTTTTGCGCACTTTTGAGGAACATTTGAAAAAGGCAAATTCAAGATCCGAGGGACATTACACACTTTTTCCAGGCCTGCAATGGACATAACACGTTCCTATAATTTTGTTTTCTGTATTTTATAGTTATGGCATGGTGAAGACAAAGCTAGGTTTTTGTCATCAAATTTTATCTAATCCATTGTGGACATTGTCACTTATCGGTAAATATGAATTATTGTTTTGTTGATATAACTAGTGTAAAACTGATATGCAATTAATGTATTGATTCTTTGATTTATCACTGCCATGTAATCGTTGTATTATTGAAACATAAGGGACGTTTTATTAATATGTTGTGAGCCAACTGGAAATGAAAATAATTTGAAATACTTGTAAATCGAGTTTCGAGCTTATAGTGAACTGTAGTTAGCAGAATGAAAGTTTCCCTTTAGCCCTGTTGTGACGTCATGCATATTGAACCAAGATGGCGGCCTCCATGGATTTTTTTTCGTAATATTTCGAAAACTAAGCACGATACGAAGAGAAACTTATTACCATTTCCCTTTGTTACTAAGAAACAGATCATTTCCTTTTGAATGGCATAATTTCCTTGGCAAAATTTCCTTATTGTATTTTGGGTACAATTGTCTAGTTTGGCGGTCACTTTTATTGTTGTGTCGGGACGGCAAATTAAAGCCTGGCAATTAGCATGCAGTTAATTTTTAAAAGGACCAACCAGTAGCTATACGGTTAGAACATAGGATTAAAATTTAATCTAAGACATGGCGTTTCGATTTCTTTTAGTCTATGTTTTGGCATTGATATTCACATTGAGCGTGGCGATGATTGATGATAGAATTAGTCTATATAGCATTGATCCTTCTCTCTGGTAAGTGCCATATTTCACGCATGCTCGATTTTTCCCATCTTTTGTATACCTCATAGTAAACTTTACAACACGTATTGGACTGTAACCATAACAGAGTAGTCTGCATGGTATTACCCGACCTTTTGCGATTTGATGCTTGTGATGTTACTCTGAGTGTATATCCATACCGGGCAAGCTTGAAAAATATACCTGTCTACGGTGGGAATCGAACCTACGACCTTTGGAATACTAGCCCAATGCTCTGCCAATTAACTGAGCTATGCGGTCAGGTTGGTTCGAGTAGGCTATGTGATATTTCGGAACAGAATGTAGTTCCTTCGATACCAATGTAATCTAGTAATCATGATATTTTCTGTGTTGATGCAATGTACTCAGGTGAATATGATGCTTGTGATGTTACTCTGAGTGTATATCCACACCGGGCAAGCTTGATGTTTAATTTTTATAGAACGTTTTGTTTGTGGAAACACCACGTAAATTTATTACTGCAAAGCTTTCATTCCGTAAGCCCGGATCTTCATCAGTGCCATAATATCATATTATTAGCACTGATGAAGATCTGGGCTTAAAGGTCATAAGTTTTGCAGTAATAAATTTACGTGGTGTTTCCACAAACTCTATACTTTTGTGTGCGCGAGTTCGCTCATTTGCTTAAAAGCTTGGGCCTGGTTGTACGAAGGTCGAATAGCGATTTTTCAAATTACTTGAAACGCTGTAAAACAATTAATAAAAAGAAAATTTTAAAATACGAAAGTTTAATTTGGGTTATACCAATCAACGGACAGTTTTAGCTTGAAAAAATCACTATTCGGTGGATAGCGCTTTACGCCTTTCGTACAACCAGCCCTTGATCTAAATTTATTAGTATGCAAAAATTAAGTCTATAAAATTAATATCTAACACAGAACGTGATAAGTTTTCCATTGTAAAACATACATTGCATGTCAAAAGTATATAACACAATTTTCCGACCCAAATTGGCGTCACAGACGTTTTCCAAAAATGGTCCCCAGAATTGAAACTATGTTAGTGTCTGTGACGTATGCTAGCATTGTCCTAAGGTGTCTGTTTTATGGCTGTACTTGTCGCTGCAATCGGGGATTTATCCAGCCAGGTCTGGTAGTCGAGGCGTTGTTTTGTTACCTCCGCTATACAGGCGTTGTTTTGTTACCTCCGCTATATATTTTTTCCGCGTTTGTATGTATGTGTGTGTCTGTGTGTTTACAGTGGCGGACACTTCACGAAATACATGCCAAAGGGGTTTCGGTGTCCGTTTAAGGCTCACTTGATCATTGTACACGTTAATCCCTCCCCCCCCCCCTAGTGTCCACTACTGTATGTTTGATGAAAAGTTTTGGATGAAAAGTTAGCGAAAGTTTGTCTTAATTAGCCCATGCATAATTGCTGCCGAGCGTAGCTCGGCAGCACACTAATCTCTACACGTGGTGTGCTTACCACGTGACCGCCGAGTTTATAGCCGCTACAATCTCGATTTATGTCATTTTGTCATCCACGGACGGGCCAAAACTAG